GGAGTGCCTGTCCACCAACCCCCTCCCATCTCTTCTGGGGCACCTTCCCCATCTCCCAGGGTGCTCTTCCCTAGCGCTCCCCTCCCCCGGCCCTGGGGTGCCTGTCCACCAACCCCCCCACCTCCTCCGGGGTGCCTGCCCCAGCCCCGCCCCCATCTCCCCAGGCTGCTCTTCTCTAGCGCACCCTGGTCCTGGGGTGCCTGTCCAACCCCCCACCTTCTCCGGGGCACCTGCCCGAGCCCCATCTCCCCAGGGTGCCTGTCCACCAACCCGCCACCTCCTCCTCCCAGCCCCATCTTCCCCACGGTGCCTTTCCCTAATGCCCCCTGCCCCAGGGCTGCCCCCCCAGACGTGCCTGCGCACTCCTCCTGGGGGTGGGCTGCTCCAGCAGCTGCATCTGGCTGCGGCCTTCAGTTTTCCACGTCCTGCTGGTTGGGTGCTGGGGGGTCAGTGTGGTTGCTGATCGGTGCTGTCCATGTGCTCTAGAGGGTCGGGGGGGGGGTTGTCCATCTGTTTGTGGGGGGGTTGTGGGGTGCAATTGGTGCTATCTATATGCTCTGGGGAGTGGAGGGTGTGCAGATTGGCACAGTGCATGTGCTCAGTGCTTGCATGGAGGGGGATACACCAGCCTCAGTGGGCCTGACTTCCATGCAAATAAACTATGGAAACAAACACTGAAAATACAAACTGTTTTGAAGTTTTTCACACCTCTTTAAATAAATCCCACCACCCTGAAACCACTTCCTCTAGTCACAATATGCCCACCCACATCTTCCTTCTCCTCTATCTGGGGGAAATACTCCCTCATTTTCCTGATCCACATTTAACAGTAGTCCTTTGGGATTTGTTGAGTTGTCTAAATTTCTGGATGGAAGTGCTGACACGGAGCTGTTTGGAAAGTTAGGAAGTTTGAAAGCATCTGGTCTTTCTGCAGACAACAGATGTGAGTTTCTGTTAGTTTGATGGAAGCGGTCTTTTCACACACTTCAGAGCAGCACACGCTAACTCCATCAGGTGATGCAGAGGCAGACAACCTGCAGAATGTTATCTGGTGGTCTGTGTGTGCTTCTGGTTTGATCATGCTCTCTGGGACAATGGGGCACACTCCTTTTGCAAGATTAGTTAAGGTGGCAAGAGCTGATCTTGGAAGAGATGCAGTGATAACCACGTGTCTGAGGTCAGGATCAGACCCTTTGACTAGCTCAGCAAAAAGAGTGTTGCTCAAGTCATCTAGTGTGTTTTTATAATTACAGATATATTTATACTGTGACCAAAGTGAGATTAGATAATGGGGATTTGTAGAGACACATTTGAAAGAGGGGTGAATTAGAGATGGAATAGCGAGGAATGATTTAGGAAAATTTTAAGCAAGAGAGAAATTTCTTAGCAGTGAGGGAATTTGTGCACTGGAATGATCTTTCTTCATAGGGTGTAGCTGGACCACTCTTCCTAGAGATGGTTGAGGGGTGACTCAGGGCCTAGGAATGACTGAGGTCGCTGCGTGATAGTTTGTATCCAGTCTCCAACAGAGTCATAGGTGCTAGAGATGCCTCAAACCTATGTTACTTTGTCACCTTGTCCATTCCCAGAGATCAGAGCAAGATTGTGTCCTGGAAGATATCTTCTGGGGTTTTGTGTGGTCTAGTTTCAAACATCTAAAGCAGGGGTCGGCAACCTTTCAGAAGTGGTGTGCCGAGTCTTCATTTATTCACTCTAATTTAAGGTTTCGTGTGCCAGTAATACATTTTAACGTTTTTAGAAGGTCTCTTTCTATAAGTCTGTAATATATAACTAAACTATTGTTGTATGTAAAGTAAATAAGGTTTTTAAAATGTTTAAGAAGCTTGATTTAAAAATAAATTAAAATGCAGAGCCCCCCGGACCGGTGGCCAGGACCCAGGCAGTGTGAGTGCCACTGAAAATCAGCTCGCGTGCCACCTTTGGCACACATGCCATAGGTTGCCTACCCCTGATCTAAAGCAATGGGCAGTGTTTTCTGTATACATCTGAATCATAAACTGATGGTATTATGGGTTTTTATAGCTTAGAGTTGCTGAGCCAGTTCTCTTTTTTGCTCCTTCAGAAGCGGCTGTGCTTCAGCATATGAAAGAGAAGAGTGATTATGGTGTGTGTTGTGCAGGAGGAAGAATACGGGTAAGACTGTAAATAATGTGAGGGCATCTGTAGAGAAGCTGTGGCTTGCAAGGAAATAATCCACCAGTTATTTTAATGCTATGCTTAATTTCATTTTAACCAGTATGTTATTTTCCTCCTGAAAGGCTGCACGGTAGCATCATCTGAAATAAGTGACAGGTTTCCACTTTAAATCCCAGCAGGTTTCCTAAGAGGATTTATACCACCATTTAGTCTACATATTGTTAGTGGTCAGATGTGAACAATACATGGTTATTAGTGTCTTGGAAAATGAACTGACATTGATAAATCTGTGACAGTTACCCAGTTACTTTGCATTGTATTGTGGCTCCATTAGCATTCTGAGATCACCTGTGTTTGTTTTTTACTCCTAATTTGAGAGATGTGAGGCTGGCTCCTGTTTTCCTACCTTTAGAAATGTAATTTCTGGCTGAGTAAAGCATTGGACTGGGGAGCTGGGGGATGGAAAAGCTGTCTAGGATGAAGGAAGACTGTTAACTCCTTATATATATCAATTTGTTAATTGTATAGTTCCTGCTTCTCTGGCCAGTCCTAGTTGGTTTGGGATTGTGTTCCCCTCCCCACCTGCAACAGTGGTGATGCTTTATTGTGTATAGAATTTGGATCCCACAGTTGCCCATAATTACCACTGTCTTCTCTGCCGCTCATTGCAAGGCTTTGTGATGTCAAGAGCTGGGGTGAAACCACCAAATGTATTTTCGCTTGTTACCTTAGCCAGAGTAGGGTAGGGTTTGAACCTGTCTCCAAAGACAAAAGCTAGTGCATTGACTTGCTGTGTTGCTCCTTCAGTCCCCATCCCACGGCAGCACGTCTTACTCAGCTGTATACTCAAATTTGATTCCTGTTACTGGTGTAGCTCCCTGAAAAACGTAAAAGAAAGGAATCTGCCTCGGCCCTTGCCACACTAGCACATCCAGCACTTCTGTAATGCTATACACAGGTGTCACGAGTTCTGTGAAGCCCATACATGTACAGGACCAGTGAAAGCTGCTGTTGCTTAATGTTCCATTAAATCTGCACTGGCACTGTGGTGAAAAGAGGATGAGGTAAGTCTCTGAAGCTGCAGCCTCGGAGAGGCAGCTAAAACCTGGCTCTTTGAGCTTTACAGGGGAAACCAACTAAGCCAAGTGTAGTTAACCACACTGGCTTGGAACTCTCTGCTCTTCAGTGGAAATGCAGTCAGTTCCAATTAACACCCCTGTTAACATTTCGTGTGTGCTCTCACCAGCAACCTGGCCTTGGGGCTACTAGTTAGACAGAGGTGATTCTGGTTTTGCTAACAGTCTGTGTTGTCTTTTTTCTTTTTTAAATGTATCTGTAAAGAGGAACGTGAGAAATGGAAAGATGTCATGCTAGTGTCACCTGTTTGTTTTTTCCATTTCATTGGTGTGTGTCATGTGCATGCAGTGACCACACTTCTTAGTGTAAAGCCCGCTTTAAAATGTTTCTGCACTAAATCACGGGCTTCGTTGCGGAAATAGAAATTGAGGTTGTTCCGCAAACAAAATATGTGCAAACAAGTTTCTTATTTGGGAAATTTCATTAGTGTGGATGAGAGAGACAGGAAAGCGCACTGCTGCATCTGTGCAAAAACTAAATAAAAATCCATCGCTCTCAGGAGGTGTTAGCAACAGGGGCATCTGAGCTGGTGCCAAGCACAGTTGAGCTGTAAATCATTTGGATCTTACATTGATAGTTGTCAAACAAATTCTCCGGTTGTTTATTGTTTCTGCTACTTCCTGCTATGGGGAGCTGTGTTTTGTAAGCTGTTGCAATAAATAGATTTTTTAGAAGTCCTATAAAGTCAAATGGCCATTGATCTCGTCAAGGAAACCCCATCACTGAATGTAGCACTCCTATATCTTATTGTGAAATGAAAGTTTAGATGCATTTGGACAGAAATTGGCTTGTTTTAGTTTCACTTTAAGGATACTTCACTTGTTGAGTTAAACTTTAATAGTCACTGTTACATAAGAAGCAATATAAAGTCCTTTCTCTCCTGCCCTTTGCCATAGCCCTTTCGTTATTTTTCTTCCTCTCCTTGGCTGGGTGTCTGTGATGATCAGTGTGTGGCTCAGGACAGCGTCAACCAATCAGTCTTCCCTTTCTTCCTCCTGGACCTGCTGCTCCAGCTCACAAGCACCGTTCCAGTGTTGGCACTGCCCTGGACAGGGCTCTGGAGACCCTCTACCCAGTCTCTCCCGCACCCTTCTGTAGCAGTTTCTTCCTGATGCTCCCAGTGTACTGTCACTCTGCCCTGCACTGGAGGAACGACAGGCTGCAGCCACGACGGTAGCACAAACATTGCTTTAAAAAGGAGTGGCTGATGAATAGCATTTAGACATTCCTAACATTTGTCTCCATGGCTGTAAAAACAAGAGAGTCTTTTTCTGCACTTCTTCCACGAGAGAGTGGACTTTAATGTCATTATGCACTGGAGCAGAATGCGTAACTCTTACGCCAGCCCATAATCTTCCCCCGTAACGGTGGGGACTGTTGCTTCATCCCAAGTCCCTAGTGGATGTTTTTCTACATTGCTGAGCCTTGATACAATTTACCATGGTTCACACACACTGTTTAGGAGAGTTCAGGATTTCAGTGGTGGGGTGCGCTCCCGGTTAGGATAGCACTGTACGGGTAGAGCTCTGGCGGGGGGGCGGAGCCAGCTGAGCTCATGCTGACCCATTGCCTGGCTCTAGTCAATGCTGTTCGTTTCCTGCTATCCATGCTTTATTCAGAAATGCTGTAACAAATCCCACAGGTCAATAATGGTGGGTATTTGCTTGCTTGCTTGTTTTCACTTGGAAAACCAACTGCCTGGCCTGTACCGTATGGTGGCTGCCCAGACTGTGTGCTGTTTCCGCCTATTCTGGCTGTTGTACCCATTTGGTTAATGTTGTGTCATGTAGGGCAGAACCTTGTGCCTGATACAATACCTGTGATGATCGATCAATCAGATCAGAAGGGTAGACAGGCCTCCTTTGCTTATTTTCTTCAGTCACTGGAAGTGTTGAGTTGCTACAGGACGGCATCAGTAAGCATTAATTACTGTGCTAAACTCACTTGTTGAAAATAAATGCTTTTTTAATGTTCATTTTTGTCTTAAGTGAGATTGTGTTTTAGAGATTCCACTGTGAGTGCTTTGGGCTGTCTTCCTGCATGTGTAGATGGGGCCTAGCACTTAAACAGGCCTAGAATGAAAGCTACCCCCTTTTCCTTTGTGTGAATATTTTGTATAAATTCCTGGATATTCCCACTCCATGCTTATTGGTTCATATAATTTCTCTCTACAGCATCAAGTCTGATCAAGAAATGCTGGCAGAATGTTGGGCTCTTTGATATTTTGCCATGTGAATTTGCCCATGCGATGTCTTGTTCACGGTGTACACCGCTGGAGGTGGCCTGCCTGTGGACGGAGGAATGTTGGACACTTCAGAAAAGGCGTGCACACCACAAGAACACCATTCAGTGGTAGGGTTACCCCCGTCTTCACTAGAGCTCTGGCTTTTGGTGATAGAATTGCCATCATTGATCAAAATGGAGAGCACACGTACAGGGACCTTTACACTCAAAGTGTCCACTTGTCTCAGCAAATCTGTGAAGTGCTCAGATGTTCCAGTGGAGACCTAAAGGAGAAGCGGATCTCGTTTTTATGCCCAAATGATGCCTCATATGTGATTGTCCAGTGGGCTTCCTGGATGAGTGGAGGCATAGCTGTTCCCCTGTACAGGAAATACCCAGTGCAGGAACTGGAGTATTTCATCCAAGACTCCCAGAGTAGTCTAGTCATTGCCACGGAAGAGTATATGAGGGACATAACCCCTAGTGCTGAGAAACTGGGAATACCCGTTCTGCCACTTGTTAACTCTGGTAGCGATGGATGTATAAATGATAAGACTGTGGAAGCGTTCCCCTTGGCCATTGACTGTCCCGAGTGGAAAAATAGAGGAGCCATGATCATCTACACCAGTGGGACTACAGGAAGACCAAAAGGTGTCCTTAGTACCCATCAGAATGTGCAGGCTGTGGTAAGTGATCCTTCCCTCATCATACACGAATGGCACATTAGTGGAGGTCAGGTTTTTTCAGACGTGACTAGTGATTTGGGGGGCTTCCTGTTGGGTGTGCAGCTTGAGCAACTGCACTCTGAAAATCCAGGCCCCTCTAAAGTGTCTCAGGTTGGCACCCAAACCCATTAGTCACGTTTGAAAATCTTTACCGGTATGTATGCACTGTGACTTAGGCTAGGGTGAGTGGGCAGCTATTTTCCTGGAGGGGTGATGGTGACTCTCTAAGTTGCCTTTTTTACTGGTTGCTTTCCTGCAAAATGACTTTAAAAATGTATCCATGCCCCTCACTGAAGTATAATTTGATCCAGCACGTCACTATTATGTAAAGTCTGTGCATTATTTAGCTATCTATCCCCAAGGCAAAAAATCCATTAGCTATCTGAGCCAAAAAGAGTTAGAAGTCTAAAGGAGTGTGCTGATTGCCTTGCCAGTTTGGTATCGCTGCCTGCAGCCGATAAAATCGCACCATTAAGGGGAATAAATACATTGCACCTCAAAGATGTGGTATCGGACTAAAATGGTTCTAGATGCTCTGCTACTGTGGTGAGGGGGGCAATATAAGAGCCTAGACAGAGAGAACAAGGGCTTCACTGTGTTGTGGAAAGACTCTTTCCTCACAAGCGTTCAGATCATTTGGAAGGCAGATGGAACAGTGGCTGTGTTTGGCAGTTTGGTGCAGAACACCAGGGTTATAGTGGCTGGATGAAATCTGCCTCCCCACTACGGTAAGGGGAATGGAATTCCGAATGACAAGCACTGTTCAGATATCTTTCCTTTTTAGACAAGCTGGAAATGACCTCTTTGACTGCAAAGGTTAGGCTCGGAAAGGCATTGTCCTGCCTAAAAGAGCCCAAACTCTAGTGCTTGAGAATAATGTTTTTCTTTTGGAAGCTTAAAATTAGTATTTTCCCAGTATTGGGTTTATTTTCTTTTCTATTTATGGACCATTGCCTTCCTGCCCCCAATTTCAATTTCTCATGGATTCTAATAAGCCAGCATAGGTCAGCTTCTTTTTGTCAGCAGCATTATCAAAGGTGTCAGCAAAGTTTCTTAGATAACTATTGTTTCTGCTGACTCTGGTTGTGCAACAGCAGGTTAATAATAGTGTAGGTCCTACCTAAACAGCAGCAATTAATTTCTAATTTTTTGGCAACACGGATGGAGTTATAGGTGCATGTATGTATATACATACACAGAATGTTCCCATTCAATTCTATTTTTATGATAGGTGCTTTTCTCCTGTTGGTCTCAAAGAAGAGACCCCACTTTCCTTGCATTGATCAAAGGGGGTGTAGGTCTTCCACCTTGCGGGTTCTCATCTGCTTTTTACTGGTGTCACTTTCATTCTGACACCTATTTTTTCCCATGAATCCCTTGAATTTATGTTTTTCACATTCAAGGCCTAGAAACTAGCCCAGGCAGGGACATGCTGCTACCAGCTTAAACAGTAGAGCTAGGGTTGGAGCTGGGCTCTTGAATTAGCCACGCTCTCTCTGTGGTTAGAGCTCCGTTCTATGTCTCAGCTGGTGGCTCACCTTATCCTAATGCTGGATTTTCTATTTTTTCCTCCCAGGTCACAGGGCTGGTTGACAAATGGGAGTGGACAAAGGACGATGTTATCTTGCACGTGCTGCCTTTACACCATGTCCACGGAGTGATCAATAAGTTGCTGTGCCCTCTTTGGGTGGGAGCTACGTGCATCATGCTACCCGAGTTCAGCCCTCAGAAGGTGAGCCTGGGGGGAGTGTGTGTTGGCTTTGAAATCCATCAGCAAGACCCCAGGCATTCTAATTAGAGTAAGTTTGGAGACCGGGTCTTAAACAGTTCCAGCCTGTTTAGCTTTTGGCTACATACAGGTCATGAATTGTCTCGTTAAAAAGACTTTGAACTGAATATTAAATCTGGGGCAAAGCAGCTTCTCTGGGTGGTTTTAACTTGTTTGATTATTAAATGGCTAATAATCCGTAATATTACCTATGCTCCTTGGTGACGCTAGGAGGTTACATACTATTAAACCAGGGCACGACACACAGAATAATAACAGAGTTAATTTAGGATCAGGAAAGATGAAAACACAACTTACTCTCTTGTTTTGTAACATACTGTACCTTAGCAATGCATTGCCTCAAACACTTAACGTTTGTTTTGTATTACCATATTCCGTAGCTCGCAGTAGCCCTTTTCTGTGTTAAATATACTCACACTCCATGTCTTGTGCTATATCACATGGTATGATGCTGGCGTTAGAGTTTCTAGTGCCCCAGGTGAGACTAAGAAAATAATACTTGATATTTATATGCAAGCTCTGCTTTTCATCCTCCAAGCTCTTTACAAACATTAGTAAATTCATCAAGATTAGACTGGATGGCAGGGCTCTACTCTAAGCCACAATGGGAGAGAGTTAGCAAATTGAAACTTTTCAGAGTCCCTTAGGAAAGGTGGTGGTAAGCAGACTGTCCTCATCCGATCAGAGTGTTGTTTTTCTGCAGATATAGGAAGCGCCGGGCCTGGTGCTTTGCTGTGCTGTGGTACCTTGGCAATGCCAATGGGCAGCAGTTTTAAAGGGGAAGAAAGTGGTTGTAGCAGAGAGACGTGTGTCTGCGAAGGGAGAAGAACACTTTTAGTCTGTTTCCACCTGGGATTGCCTTTGCCACCCTTGTGATGGTGCTGTTTGTTTGTAGAGCCCCCTAAGGTTGGTCCTGAAGAAGAATTTGGGAGATCGCTTGTGTCCAGGCTTTAATTCAATTAACAACCTAACTACTGTGGTGATGGGTCCTGTGGAAGACCCTAAGGTAGAGAGAGGGGTTTGTCTTCTACCCAAAGTGTGTAAATATCACTTCCTGAGCAATGTGCCAAGCGTTGAGACCAAGTGTGATTTGAGGAGAGGCATATCCTCCTCTTCCCTGGAGACAGCCCCATCCAGTAGACTGGTGAGTAGGCAGCCGTCTGATAAGAATGTATGATCTAAGCGAGGCTGACAGAAATAGGTGAAGAGAAGATGAAGGGAGCCTGAGCACTGGACTCTGAAGTGGCCATCCTTTGTCAGGCCTGTGGCATTCACATTCCAGGTGTGCTACAGGTGGCGGGGCTCCTAGGAAGGCTGAAATTCTCAGAGCTAGGGAAAACATTCCCTTAAGCCGAGCTGAAACAGGATGGACATTAAGGTGGCACTATAACATGGAAAATCCTGGAAAGCTTCTAACCTCTATCCCAGGTTCCTTTGCTTGTTGGTCACTTCCTGCTACTCTGAGCCCTTTCCAGGCAGCATGGCTCGGAGATTTGGGCCCAGCTTCTAGTTGGAAATGCACCATGCAAGATAAAATAAACCCAACCTGAGAATGCCTGACTATGCCTAAAAAATACCCCTCGTTGTAATGCCAAAGAGCCTGTGAGGGGAGGAGTTCAGGATAGCTTAGGCTGTCATTGCAATACACCTTATAACTCATCAGTTCAAGCTCTTCTGGGAAGTGATGTGGGAATTCAACAAGCAAATAAAATATCGAAGGGGATAAAGTACAATAAACAACAGTGCCAAACACTTCCCCTCTTACTACATGGGGGGGGGGGATATTTTGCCATGCAGTCCCCTTCTCCATGCAGAGCTATGCAGATCAGCAGATTAAAGTTGTGCATTTCAAGGTGCTGGTGCCTCAAGGCCTAAGTCTGCTTTGGTCAGTGGAGTTACTCAACGTTAATGCCAGTACAAAAACAACAAGGAGTCTGGTGGCACCTTAAAGACTAACAGATTTATTTGGGCATAAGCTTTCGTGGGTAAAAACCTCACTTCTTCAGGTGCATCCGAAGAAGTGAGGTTTTTACCCATGAAAGCTTATGCCCAAATAAATCTGTTAGTCTGGTGACACCTTAAAGACTCCTTGTTGTTTATGTAGATACAGACTAACACGGCTACCCCCTGATACTTGAGTTAATGCCAGTATAGCTGAGGTTGGAATTTGGCCCTCAGGCTTTAACTAGCACCGGTTCCTTTGTGGCCAGAAGGCTCAGTGATCAGTGAATAATTGGGCTTCCAGGTGCAGATGCCGGCTTTAAGTGGGAACGGAAATGTGCATTTTCTGAGATTACTTCTTATAGAAGCGTAAATCAATAATCAGTCCTGCTGCCACCCCAGGCTAAGATCAGGACCCACATATTACTAATGAGCAGGCATGGTCGGAGGCTTTTAATATTCTACCGTGCCCTCTCTGTATGCTTCAGGGCTGATAAGGCTACCTGGGAGATATATAAATATGAGCAAATGCAAGAAATCGTTGTTCTGTTCAGCTGTCGGACACAGACGTGCCTGACTCCTTTCACTCTCCCAGGGAGTTTTCTACAGGCCATGCTGACTTCATTTTACACTTTTCCCCTTGAGTCCCCGACAGCAGTCACCATCCCTCCAGATGTGGAGGAATGGAAGGAAACCTCCATCAAAGCCTGTCCTCATCATTGCCCCTTAATCAGCCAGAGGGGCTGCTGGTGAATGGCAGAAAAAAATTCCTTCCCTGAGGGCTAAGCATGCTGCCTCCACAGCTCCTGCAGGGAGCAAGCAGGAACAGAGCCCATGATAATACCCAGCAGTAGCTGGCCACTGGCGCTGCCCAGCATTCATATTTCAATTTAAATATCCAGCGTGTGTGCATAAAGTGTTTCAGACGGCTACAGGTCCTCTTTGGGGTAAGGCAGCAGGTTTAAAACAAATAAAAGGAAGTCTTTCTTCTTCCAGTGCACAGTCAACCTGTGGAACTCTTTGCCAGAGGAGGCTGTGAAGGCCAAGACTATAACAGGGTTCAAAAAAGAACTAGATAAATTCCTGGAGGATAGGTCCATCAATGGCTGTTAGCCAAGATGGGCAGGAATGGTGTCCCTAGCCTCTGTTTGCCAGAAGCTGGAACTGGATGACAGGGGATGGATCACTTGATGACTACCGGTTCTGTTCATTCCCTCTAGGGCACCTGACATTGGCCTCTGTCGGAAGACAGGATATGAGCTGGATGGACCTTTGGTCTGACCCAGTGTGGCCATTCTTATGTTCTTGGGGTCCAGTCTGAGTACTGTTCTTCCCTTGATATTTAAAATCACCGCATTCTTAGCTTCCCCCCTCCAGCCCTTAAAGTCTTTGTGAAGAACCCTCTTTGAAACCCTCACCTCAATAGACACACAGACTAAGAATATTTAGCATTTGCAGTGCTTGACAGCTTCCAGCACTGTCCTGACCTATTGCAGAAGGCAAGACCTTGATACCTCACTAGCCTTGGTGATACCCTGAGGCAGCTAATTGCAGGCGGGGGCAGGGTGAAGAGCACACTCATAGTCCTGAAGCAAAGCCAATCCAAAGCCCCATGTGCATTTCTCCCTATCCTGTGGCATTTGGTGATTGATTGTCCCTTGTACTCCTGTGTTTCTCTGTGCTGCTCTCCTGACATCTGCAAATCAATGAGCTGACGTTGAAGAATGGGCTCTGCTGGGAGGAGGGGGATGCTCAGTCCTGTATTCTCCAATCCGATCGCTCGGTGAGAATTGACAACCAAGGGCAAGCGAGGACTGTGCTGGAGCGGAGCCTTCACTTTGACCCAGAGGGCTGAGCTCGGGCAGGGGCAGTCTGCATGGCAAGTCTGTCTGCTGCAGGAGCAGCGAGCCAGCTCCATTCCAAGAGCTCTCCGGCGCACTCGGGCCTCTGAAGGACATTATTTGCCTTTTTTATTTTTTTCATTCCCTTTATTTTTCCAAGGGCCTCCCCTGGGAGCTGAAAGTGGTTTGATCGACACTACAGAGAAAGCACACGAGGGTAAAGCAGGCTTTCTTGTGGAGTTTAATGCAAGCTGCCTTTCAGTTCCAGTCTATTTTCACCAGCTGTTTACAAAATGCCCTTTGCTACCAAAATCAGCTTTCAGAAAAGAAGCACAGGTTCAGTGGAGGATTTCGCAGAAGGAGTCTGAGTTTTGCTGTTTTTTTTTCTTCACTGCACCTTGAGAAAACAGTCAATTACAGTGTGATGTAAAGAAACCCAAATGGCAGCTAAAACACTTGACATACTGATCAAAACAAGGCTAGGAACTTACTCTAAACCTGCTGCAGACATATTTAGCCTTGAGTGATACTGGCATGGCTTCAAGAGAAACCACAGCAGCATGCCCAATGTGCCTTTGGTTTCTAATGACTAACACTTCATTATACAAAATAAATACTTTATTATTTCAGTGTTCATTAAATTACATAATTTGCGGCATGCCTTAGAATCAGAGATACAGGTGCCAGTCTGGTTTAGTTGGTGCTAATAGCATTATCTCCTCTTAGCTAAAAGATGGTTCACGTCTCAGATAAAGGCTTGGTTTGCATCCTGTACAGTGCGGTGTTAGGAGTTGTTTTTCAGACCCTTCTGCCTGGTTCTGGCAGCTGCCCAAGAGGAGGTTAAAGATCAAGGTTCTGGAATGACCCCAGTGTCCTGGCCAGCATTCCCTCTCTAACAGCATCTGATGTCCGAGGCTGCATGCGCGCTATTGTGAAGCTCACAAAAGGACTCATTGAAGTGCACTGAGATGCCTCAAGCGTGAAAGTTGCTTCATAAAATCAGATTCTCTTTATTAAACTAAGACTTATGTTACTTTGCTCTAGCTACTGTACAAGTTATAAGCAACAGAGGGTCCTGTGGCACCTTTGAGACTAACAGAAGTATTGGGAGCATAAGCTTTCGTGGGTAAGAACCTCACTTCTCCAGATGCAAGTTATAGT